TTCACTAGGAAGGCGAATATGCTGGTGCAGTTTTTGCTGGACAAGTACAGAACGAAGGAGATCATTGGGAAGGGAGAGATGCTGAAGGTCGTGAACAGAAGGTACAAGGAGCACTTCCCTGAGATCCTGAAGAAAACCGCCGATCGCATGGAGCTGGTCTTTGGCCTTGTCCTGAAGGAAGTCCGCCCCAGAGGTCAGTCCTACACCATCGTCAGCCAACTCGATATTTCCAACCAAGGCACTCAGAGTAGTGATGGGCCACTTCCCAGGAACGGGCTCCTGATGCCTCTCCTGGGCATGATCTTCATGAATAACAACCGTGCCACTGAGGAGGAGGTCTGGGAATTCCTGAATATGGTGGGAGTCTATGATGGGAAAAAGCACTACATCTTCGGAGAGCCCAGGAAGCTCATCACTGAAGATTTCATTAAGGCAGAGTACCTGAAGTACCAGCTGGTGCCCAACAGTGATCCTCCGTGCCACGAATTCCTATGGGGTCCCAGAGCCTATGCTGAAACCAGCAAGATGAAAGTCTTGGAGTTTTTGGCCAAGATCAACGATACCATCCCCAGTGCCTTTTCATACCACTATGAAGAGGCATTGAGAGAGGAGCAGGAGAGAGCCAAAACCAGAGTTGTAGCCAGCGCTGACCCTACTGTCAAGGCCAAGGCATCTGCCGAGGCCAAGTCTGGTAGCCCCCCCACCCCCAGGGAAGTGGTTGAAAAGGGCTATTCACCTTAGCAGTGGAGGGCCAGGTGGGGCTGGAGGAGAGTACAATGTTTGTGTCCCTCTTAAATATAAGTAGCATGTAGGTTTATCTTTTTCTTTTTCAAATGATGTTCCTTTAAATAGATGGTTTGTTTAAATTCAGAATATAAATTTATAAATAACATGGGCCACGCATTTATTGCCATTTATCAGGTTTAAGACCAATGTTTTTGTGTGTTTCAGAACAAATGGAGAAGGCTTGCCTCTTTTTTATGATCCAAAACAAGATAACATGTTATTAGAACAGCGATTTTCTTGGAAATGTGAAAGAACCCCATAGTAAAATAGTTGGGATAATGAGGTAGAGGGAAAAAAAAGTGGTCAGTTGTTGGTTTCCTTTCTTCTGTTTAGTCTTTCTTTTGGTACAGTTAGAAGTTATATACCTGATTTGCTTAGCTTGTTCAAGAATTTGAGAGAAATAAAATTGTATTGAGTTAAACCTCTTGTTCACTGGCTTTTTTGTTTTCGACCATTAAATGAGCATCTGCCATATGGAAGGCTTCATTGCTAGTTTAGACAAGGAAGTCTCAGCCGCAGCCATAGAGTTTTAGAGTCTATGAGCAGCTCTCCTATAAGTAAGACGGTGAGACCCACACTAAAAGACATGTAT